TGAAAATTTCTAAAGAAACTGTGGTGCTGCGTCGGTAGGGGTAACAAGGTAATTTGGTTATATCAACTAAGTTGAAATTGTAAAATGGCCACCGTAACGAGTTAAAAAGCTGACGTTTCGAGGGTTAGCCCTTCGTCAGAGCTAACGGACTAACGCTGGAAACGTCAGTTTTTTAACTCGTTACGGTGGCCAATTTACAATTTCACTAAGGAGATGACTTTAAACATTCTTTTGCAGAGGTTTCCATGACTTTTAGCATGATGTTCAAGTTGGCTTTGGTTTCCTTGGTGATCTCCTGTGTTCTAATAACTGAAGCCCGTAGATTACCTCGGCCACGCCTTCAGGACACCGAACTTTACCAAAGGAAGTTCTTAAAGGTTAGTGTTTTGATAGAAGGGGACTACAAAGTGGGTAAGAAACTGGGATGAATGGTTATAGATAGACTTCCGACATTATGTTTGTCCCGCGATATGAAGAGTAAGCTTTACGAAGAAACAAATAAGGACGAGACACAAATTGGAGAGAAAGGGTATGTCGTTAGACGCCAATCAAGCTTCCGCTTTTCCGCCCTTGTAGCCCTTAAGGACCGGTAATTATTGTTCACCTGAGGGGGAGGGGGTGGAGGATTTTGGTTGTGTCACAATAAAATTTCTCTCAGTTCCCCCCATAATGCTCTGTAGTATTATAAAGAACAAAGAAAACAGCAACGACCCTTGTGAGTTTGTTTTTTAATCAACATGGTTTGGTTCCTCTTTTTTAAAGATGACGTATATGTTTTATTGATTTGCATTTGTCGTTACAAAGGTTGTTTTTTAGCCGCCCTTAAACAAATATGTCGAGGAAGAACCATTTTGGAGAACTTGCAGTCTTTCTGCTCCTCAGAGAATCTTTTTTAAAAATAGTACGCATAAAATATTGACCCCATGTAACAGGCCAAAAATAAATTACGTGAAAGAAATATTTATCTACCTTTGTTGCATAAATAATTTTCAGAACTATCTGCATCGTCGCTGGTGTGTTCCACTCAGAGAAACAGGTTGTGAGGGCAATAACGGCAAATGCTGTCGAGATGGAAACCCGTACACTGGAACCATGCGAAAATGTGTGAACACGGGCTCTTTTTCGTCACCGTAAGTAAAAGACTAACAATTTTTTACTTCAATGGTTATTATTATTATTATATTATTATTATTATTATCATTGATTATCATTATTATTATATTATTATTATTATTATTATTATTATTATCATATTTTAAAACCAATTATTTACAGTCCACAAACAGTGAGTCTTTGACAAAAGTTACTTGAAGACATTAGTGGATGAACTCGTTTTAAAATCTAACGATGAACCTTTCCATAGCTCAGGTGCAGCAGCTGAGAGTAAAAAGTGCCTGAGCTCATTTCAGAGGTTCACCCGTTTCTGTAGCAAAAAAGAAATTGGCAGCAATATTTTATCCCACTCGTTAGGGTTCTCCCATTAGTCATATTCATTCGCTGTACGTGTAATTTCTTTTTAATTTTTTTTATATTCCAGGACCTATACATGTGTGAAAGCATAAGGAAACACTCGGTGTCAGATACAAGACAAAACCGAGGGTTTTTTCCAGCGAGTCTTGATTTTACAATGTCAAATGCACATTAGGTTACTTCTGAAAACAAAACCGTCAAAACACAGGCACACACACGCGACACCCACGCGCGCATGCACACGCACCTAAACACGCATATGAGCGCACGTGCGTTTTTTAGATCACAGCTATCTTTAAGTGCAAATTAAAGAATAAACGTTTGCTTTTATCACTTCACCTGTTCATTTTTCCATGGTTTGGCTCAAAACCAGCCTTCCTTGAATGTTTTTATTTATTTTATTAAGTGGGAGACACAATGTCCTGCTCAGCGCGCTAGAACTGCGTAGTCGAAGGGCCTACGTTCAAGTTGTGACTAGGGCAAATACTGCACTGATAGGGGCCTGGGACGAATTTTTGTACAGCCAAGTAATTAGGAAAAACTAGAGAGCCCCAAGACTTCATCAAATATTGTTGTTCAGTAGTTTGGCACATAGGATGTGACTAAAACAAATGGCGCCCGGACATACAAGTTTAAATAACATAACCAGATCGTTTGGGAGACGAATTCCACGTTAACCCTTAAATATCAAATTCCATGGACAAAATTTCTCCATACAATGTCAATGAAATGTCAAGCAGACGAGTGATGAGAAGAAAGAAAAATATCAGTTGGTGGATCAAGAGGAGAACCAAGGCCAACTTCTTCGCACGAGATCTTATAAGTAAAAAATTGCCATCTTTCCAGTTATTAACAATTCTGATTCTTTCGTACTCAGCGTTTAATAGCATACCAATCATGAAAACTGACCAATAAAAACTTCACCGTAATTTATTCAGTCACGATGTGTGAACACAAAAACAACAGATTGTTCTCAGTCAGGGCGCTCCCAAATTAGCTGTAACACCTTGGTTTTCGATTTTGCATTTTCCCTGGCTTGAAGCTTTCCGAACAGTCGTCTTTCCTGATTATGTAGTCACGTTCATCTTTGCGCGCTTTATCTTTCTAGTCATCGCAAGCAAATGAATCGATATGAAGCAAAGTAACACGAATCGTAGACTATGACCAATCCCTTTTTTTTCAACGAATTTTTTGCGCCAGTCCGAAAAAAACAAAAAAATCAGGAGAAAACCTTGATGTTAGCACCCCTGCTGAGCTCTCGGAGATCTCTGAGTTCCGCGCAGCGCGCTAGCATTATTTCTTCCTTTCTTACTGATTATTTTTCGATCGCGTGAGGGACTTCACCGAAAAGGAGAGACTGCTCGTAGTCTATACGAAGCGAAGCAAAGTGAGGCAAAGCGATTAAAGACGAATGTGACTGAAACATGCTGCAATTACAATCGCGTTTAACAGACGCAGAACTACCTGGAAAAATATTCAATTTACAAAGCCAAGATGTACAAAAAATAAATAATACCAAACATATGAAACAAAAGAAAAAACAGTTATAACTAAAGTTAACTAAAGCTACAAGAACGCGAAAACTAAACTAAAAAAAAAAAAACAACAAAATAACCAACAAAGACAATTACGTAACCCTGGCGCCTGCAAACTTTGACAGTCACAGCATTTGACAACTGCCTCCATTTGACAACTGAATCGTATGAGACACCGTGAAGAGAGAAAAAAAATTATTTTACAGGAAAGCTGATAAGTAGTTATCGGACCGTCAAACGATGTCGCATAATAAAGGCTAAAATGTCATACCACTGACCGCTCTGTTTCAAAGAACCTTTCGAATAGAAAGAGATTAGTGAATAAGCCAATGCAAGAGGTACTCTCTAAGGAAAATGCATTTTGATTGGCACACGACTGAAATAACGGTAATGTCATTGCTGAAATATCACGTGTTCAAGAAAAAGAAGTTGAATTTAGTTTGGCAAAGTTTCAGAAAAGGAAGGAAGCTTCTTGAGGTAAGATGGTTTGCTATCTTTTTCCTCTTTTAAAATTAATTTCAGTGAACCGTTTACAGGATTAAGTCACTAACTGGAAATAGCGTGCGAATTTTCGATAAAAATTTAAGCCACAGAACTTTAGACCCGCGGTTTCGACCAGAGGATAAACAATCCGTTTACCTAGTATTTAACAAAAAAAAAATCTCAAAGAGAAATGTAGCAGAAAATATGGAGTAAAATTCTTTACATGGTGACAGGACTTAAAATGCAAAAATTTGGGTTTTGCTTGTGTTGGTGTTGAGATTTCATTTAAAGCAAGACAATCTCTTAGAGAAAGTATATTTCGAATATTTTTTTTCAAATCTTGAACTTCTACCATATGTTAACATCTGCTGCTTAAATTCTGACTTGAAATAATATCTTTCAATGTTTCGTGCAGTTTTCAGATAGGGCAGATCCCTTTGTGAGAATACAATTGCAATTAGCTCTTTTGATATCGTGGTTAAAACATTGTGGGGTGAAGAGTTTTTTTGCATCAGAAATGTGGATGTTTTTTCATCATTAAGACCGAAGGCGGGTCGCGGCAACGGAGCCGCTCGAATGTCTGAAATTAAGGTTTTCTGTTCAAAGAGATATAATTTCTTGCTTAATGAGAAATTTCAGGGATAATTTAAGAGGAAAAATAATACTCATTTAAAATTCCTGATTCTCTTCGGCTGAAACATTCGGATACATCATAAAATAAGATTGGATAACTCACCGGGGAACTTATACATTCAAGGTAAATATAGCTGACTGGACGGAGGAAGGGTATTAGTAGAAAACACATAAAGAGAGTCAATTCTCATAACTGTATACCATTCATTTTCAAGGAGCAACTTTCGAGAATTTGGTGTTCTCTAAGAAAATAAGTCAGTTAGTTAAAATCTTTCTCTATTCTTATGAAGTGGGCATGTGTATTGGGGAAATATTGATATTGTCAGGTGGACTTATTTATTTATTCGCATAAGAATTACTGAAGCTACGTCACAACATTTGTACTTCACAAGGTTTTTGATCAATGTGTAAAGAGTCTTTAGAGTTAAAGAAAATAAATTTATAAACTCATTTGTGCTCCAGCGACATGATTCGAAAATAAGGCGAATATATTAGTCCCCACAGAAAATATTTACATCAGAATGGCAAACCAATTGGGTGATTAGAACAACAGATTAAGCTCAAAATTAAGCGCACGCTTTTCTTTTCATTTTTGATTTAATTTTATTTCAGCTCTCTTTTTTTCTTTTCAATTGAAAGTTCCCTAGCATTGAAGGCAGGGAGAAAAGAGAGAAGAGAAAAAAATTAATGTTTTTCATTAATTTCAAACCATGTGTAACAGTCGTTGCCCAAAGACAATGAAAAAAAAATGAAAAGTCTTATTTATTCCAGTCGATGAACTCTTAAACGCATGCATAAATGATATAGATATACCTGCTGCTGCAATGTTATACTTGCTTTGATCACAGCTGGCCCGTTAAACTCGCCAAACTAATTTGATGAATTTTCTTTGAATTGTGCGCTGTTTCTCACAAAAAAAAGATCTGCAAACCGAGGAAATATCGTGGGAACGTTTGGGAACAAGGAACAGGGAACGGGTAGAACAATATACAGGATGCATGAAAAGTTTTCGGGGGTTTCATTTCGTGGACGACGAGTTGGTGCGTTTCGCTTTTTTGCAAACAAGGTGACAGAAATTTTGCTGGGAACTAATTTTTGTCGTTCTTCGTTCGAGCTACCGAAAATTAAAAAGCAAAAGAATCACTTTTAATTCAGTGGAGCCACACACTAAAGATTCTAAGATGGATATTTCGAGTGACTGGTTCAAATAAGGACTATATTTACTTAAGTGTCCGCGGTGTTCACTGTCGAGGGGGGACTCTAACACAATACATCCTGGCATTTTGGAGCGTGTGAAATTTTCTCCTTATTCTATATAATTTTTTTTTCGACAAAAAGGGGACAAGCCTCTCCAGTATTAAGCCATGTGCTTAGATGGCAAGCGTCTGGATTTAAGCGATAGAGTCATTTTTATTCCTTTTAAGTAATGGTCGAATTTTCAGTTTGTTTGTTTTTTTTTTTTGCAGGAAACCACAGGACAGAAGTACTATGATCTAGAAATTCTGTGATCATGCTAAAAGTCTCCGTTTGCGCCATGAAGTTGTTGGTTTTGTGTTTGATCGCTTTCACATGGAGTGAAAAGTATGGCTGTTTCGCGAGTGGTAAGAGAAACCTTATGTTGCCGTTGTCGCTGAATATCTGGGTTTGTAATGTTGCTAAATCTAAAAGGTCCATTTGAGTCGTTTGACATTTTTACACGAAGGAGTCTCCAAGTCAAAATCCTAAAATTGTGAAAAAACGGACTAATAAGCTAAAGGAGAAAAAGGTTTAGCGCTTAGGCAAGTGAACAAGCGAGCGAGCGAGCCACGATCCACGCGCAGGAACCGCGTCTGAGCTGAGCTATGAGTCAGAGTTGAGTGCCAATCACTACGGTTTAGGAACTGAGTGAGGGGAAAGTTTTGGGAATCACCATACATCAGTACACATTGCGATGACATTTACAATGAATTGCACTGAAGCACAGTAGAGGGAATTTGGTTGGGTCGCAGTTAAGTTTTCCTTACTCCCCACTCCCCTCCCGTGAGGGTAGTAATGATTCCCAGTCAGTTTTCTCCAGTCCCTTAAACTTTGCCAGAAACGACTGATCCCCTTCCATCCCCCTGAAAACAATATGATCCCTCAAGTCCTCCACCCCTTCCCCCCAGGTGCTAAATAATGACCTGGTCACTTCATCAAATATCTATCATCACTTTATAATTTTATGTAATTTATTATTTTTTTTAAAGATTGCAAGCTTCGATGTGCTCTTGTAACTGATGAATGGTTCACTCCCTTGGGAAATAAATCACTTTCATGTCAATACGTTCAACATTCAACTGAAATAGTAGAGTGTTCTGAGATGGCTCCCGATATTCTGTAAGAATGATTATTATAAGAGAATCCTTTCACTTTGTAAAGCATTCCTTAAAAAATGGTAGAGAAAATCCCCATGGAGGGGGGAGGAGGAATTTAATGACAGGGGCGGACTGGGTAAATATTATAAGAGGGGATAGGTGGGTGGGTTGTGTTCTTCGGATCCAGGTATAATACCCCCTCACATTCCCCTTCCTCATTCCCCATTCCCCCTTTCCCCTTCCCCCCCACCCCAAGAAATAAAAACCCATAATTTGTTTTGGTTGGATTTTAGCAACGTACTGACAAAACTGGTCAAAAGGGGAGTTGTGATATCTCAGAAAAAGAAACGTTTCATCAACCTATTTTGGTTCGGTTAAGCTCGGAATCCCATACTAGGCTTGTTTTTATTTCTTTCTAGGCACGTGACTAAAAGTAATTTGAAAAACCCTCATATTCTAACGTTCGGTGGTTTCACGAATCTAGAGCATCTGTAAGTCTACTGCATCAGAAACTATTCTCCCGATTTACATTTGTAATATTACAAGACCATCTCTCTCTCAGTCTGTCAGCCAGTTAGTCAGTTGTTCAATCAGTCAATCAGTCAGTCGTATTTGTTTGTCCATGTCTGTCCGTTGTTCGTGCGTATCTTTTCCTCTCTCTTTCCGTCTGTATGTATGCTCGTTCTTCTCTCTTTCCACTGATAAATATGCCACTTAAACAGCACTCATGTTTCGCAAAAATCCCTGAGCAACTTTCATTTCCTTTTCTTTGATCATTCCTGGTAGCTTCTTTGTGTCAAGCAGATTCCAAACCCTGAACGTGGGTCTATTTCGTTATCAAACGAAACTTCTACAATTGTGAGTTGAATTAATTTTGAAAATTCTCGGACGCATGGAGATGGCAGAGTTCTTCCATATGTATCCTGCTCACGATTAAGGTTGTTTTTTTTTTAATTCTGTTACGGTCATGTTACTTCACCAAATATGGTCAACGTCCACTGAAAGAGAGTGACCACCACTAAACCAACTATGACCGAGTCTCATACCCTTTGGAGTTCTAGAACCTTAGATATTAGCAACTGAACTTTGCGTAACAACAAATAGAGTGCGTGTAGTAGTTAAGAAGGACCCACCTCGTCCCTTGCAAAGTTCATTGAGATGAAATAAGATACGAAGTGTCTACCCTTAGGGACTAAGAAAATAAGGAAAAGTACCACGTGAACAGCCCGCACCTGTTCCATCCGTAGATGAGTTTAAATGAACAAATCGACAGTGGTTTAGCGCGGTCTATACTCTTACCGACAAAAATATTCGTCATCACAGTGGCCAAAATTTGTTGAGTAAACCAATCATCACACTAGAAATTAAATGCAATGTTTGGAGTTGAAATTGTAACAATTTTTTGACATCCTTCTCTGTATAATTTAATTTTATCGATTTTGAAGGGACTTGTCTTCGAACGCCATCAACGATTATG